GCGCGGTTGCAGTCTTCACGTGGTTTCAAGCGTTGAAACATGTGATATGATGCTGGTCCCATGCATTAGGGTGGGTGTCAAGGTCACCTGAAGGTCAGGTCAGCTCAATGACCTTTGATGACCTCGGTTCCTTATTCGAGCTTTACATGTTTCTAGGCTAGTTTTTGGAGCTGATTTCGAATTTAGCAACCATTTGAACATTACAGGGGGTGTAACGAAATTATACGGACATCTTTCTTCCCGCTGTAATTAAAGAGCAAAACAATCTGGTACTTTTTCTTTTAACTGAGCTTGTAGCCACCTTTCATAAAAACACAGTGGTGAATGTTCTGGAGCATTTCAGCCAATGAATTCTCCAGCACACTGGCTTCGATGCGGACCAACGCCGTCTAAAGTAACCTGTGCCTGCGGTTGAGCAGTGCTTATGGCGATTGGCGGGTGGCTCTTCATACACCTCCTGCTGAACAAGAACCCACAGGTTTTCGATTGAATTGGGATCGCGACTTTTTCCAAGTCATAAGCGTTAGCCCAGAATGATTGAAGAAGGTTCTATCGGCATCACTTCCCGTTCTTTTTGGGACTTTTAAGTAGCGCGCCGCCCCGCATGAAGACAGCGTGGCTTGAATCAGGCATCAGTGCGCGTTCAGAAATCGTGCCCTCCTATGCCGTCTAGTTGAGCGCCTCCAATCATGCTCCACCACCTTCCCTGAAAAGGCTCCACCCTTGCCTATGGGGCAAAATATAAGGGACAAAAACACAAAACAAGACAGATAAAAACAAAGCAAAATTAACTCATTACCTAATGAAATTCAGGCTGGAGCAAAAACATAGGTAATAGGTATCTATGTCAAATTAGAATGAAAGATTAAAATCAACCTGACCAGGCCTTACGGTCTGACCTGGTTCTAACCACCTTACTTCGCCTAACTTAATCCAATTCAACCTAGCCTACCACCACAACACCTGCAGAGGTACATTCCTGGAAAAATGACGCCCAGGGAGGTTACTGTCCAACTTATTGGAATACTACCATGATTGCTTGTCAAAATGTGTGTCATCATGCTCTTGTTTGACAAGTGATGTATAATAAATGTGATATTCAATAATTATCTCCTGACTGTTGACTGTTGAGTGGTCAATATTCAAATAATCAGGGTACAATGCTGTGCATAGTGCACACTAATCATGTTGTTTTTGTGTAGGCCCTGTGCACATTGTTGTGTGCACTGCTATGTGCACCTTAAGTAAAAAAGTGCATGGTGGTACATGACAAAAGGTTGTGCAACTGTGAAGTTCATGCCCTTGGTCAAGCTGGTGCCAAATGCCTATAGGTATAGCAGGATCAGTGAGGGTTGTAGGCATGCTACATACGTTGTGCATTGAATATATTGGCACAAAGTTCATCCGTAATTACTATGCTTAACACCTAATGTAAGAAGCGACATAAATGCCCAGATGATAAAACTCTCTGGTCAACATCACACAAATTTATTGACATACTTTGCAGGTACATATTTACATTCATGGCAAATACTTTCGATTTGATTCAGGAACTAGTTGGTAGTAAGCTTGCACTTTTGTAGGTACAACAACGACCATATATTAAATCATAAAAAAACTCATAGCATTCATCACATACCTTTTTACCGAACAAGTACCTAGCTACCATGCAATGATTCTAAATTTTTTCCACAATCCTGATCTATATCTCAACTGACACAATGAATTTGAAATACCCTAACAAAACCTATAACTGTACATAAGAAGAATGCAATACTACAAGAACTATGAATTTCTGAAGTTATTCTCACATGCTGGAATGTTGAAACTCTACTTTTGTCCTCCATTTCCATGTTTGAGCCATCATATCGAACTGTTTTCGTTCTTCAGTCACAAGCTTTCGCACAAATCTTGAATTTTAACACATCATCTTGAACCATGCTCCAGTCTATCCAACAAGGTATGCAACATCAAAGCAATTTTGATTTGTTACAACAGCTTCAGATCATGATGGGCTTGAGGTTTGTTACACCATTTGCCAGACAAATCTCTACAAATTGTGTATCAATTCCCAAACTTAAGTGAGACTGAAGAGTCATGTCTTAATAGTTAATACCCAGGTAAATGCTTATTTGAAATTGTTTTAACGGACTTTCACTGGGTAGTGGGTAAAAGTTATTATTGGTCCCAAAAAGTTATTATTGGTCACAAAAAGGGACCAATAATAACTTTTACCCACTACGCAGTGAAAGTCCGTTAAAACAATTTCAAATTCCCAAACTAAGTAATTGATCATATCAGTATTATGTTTATATAAAGAAACTCAAATAATCCACAAATTGTTATTGAAACACTCCCACAGAATTCACAGCAATAACAGTGCAAGTTCAGAAGCAAACAAACATTGCGCCAGATTTCGTATGAAACGCGCCATCGTCCTGAAGTTTCTACCACAGACGATAGTTCAACCGCAGCCGTAGTGCGAAAACCCCTGCCCACCTTACCCCACGGCGGAGCTCGGTTGCAATTTGTAAATACGCAGATAGGGGACGACATGGGCCTGGCTCACTTTAACTGCTTTGCAGTACGAATCAACAAGTTTCTTAGATTAGAACGAATTAAGAAAAAACTCGTAAATTTCCATTTTGTTTGTATGTGAATTTTTGTTAAATAGTTTCATTATATAAAAATTTGTCTGGTAAAAATTTAAGGAGCTAAGATAAAAAATTATGATATTTTGAAAAGTTTTACTTTTAATCCGCAAGGTTTCACCTGGTTTCAGCGCTTGTTTCTGAGCAAAAAAATTATGTTCAGAAAACTTGCGAGTGTTTTTATTGAATATATGAATGTTGTTTTGAAATGTCGTACTTATTACAACAAAAGCAATTGTTGATCATAAAAAAGAAATTACGTATTGTGATAGCTCAATTAAAGCAAAAACTAATATTTCCTCGCACAAAATCTGAAAAGAATCTTTAATTTTGACTTTGTTACCATGACAACTTGCGCTGCATTCATCGCTTTTCGGTAATTAAACAGGTATTGCCTGCCTTTTGTTGTTCCATGTCGTATATCTGTAAGAATCTTGGTGTGTTTCATGGACCCCCAACCATAAAACGTAAAATCAAAGGCACATGGCACGAGACCATAAATTAAACAACTAAATGGGTTTCTGAATTCAATTACCAAGGACTTGTGGTGAGTCAGTCTGAAAGTAAATATTTACTGGACGGACTTGTGTGCATGATATGATATCCAATTCCATTGTTCATGTTGTCCTCTCATTTGCATTCTGATTGTTTTATATTTTCATTTATGTCTTACCTTGCATTTAAACTTCAACCTTTTTATTCTATCTAAGGATCTCATGTGACAGCAACATAAGCATTAGGTAGGTACCTCAGCAAATTATTTACCCTTTCGTCAGCTTTGTTTTGCCATTATTATTATGGTATCGGTAACCCTGGCGTCACCGGTAGCTTTTTCGTTCAAGGCTAAGGTTTCCTGTATCAGGCCGCCGTGCCAGGCCGAAGCATGCTGTGACGTCACTGGGTAAGAGAAGATAACGTAAAGAACAACTCAGGCAGACTCAAATCGACTCAGGCAGACTCAAACTGACTCGACCGACTCAAACCGATTCAGATCTACTCAGACTGACTCAAACTAACTCAGACCGACTCAACCGGCTCAAATCGATAGACTCAAATCGATTCCGATCGACTCAGACAGACTCAGGCAGACTCAGACCAATTCAGATCGACTCAGACCGACTCAGATAGATTCAGAACGACTCAAACTGACCCAGAACGACTCAACCGACTCAAATCGTTCCGATCGACTCAGACAGACTCAGAACGACTCAGACAGACTCAGAACGACTCAGGCAGACTCAAACCGACTCGGGCAGACTCAGACCGACTCAGATAGACTCAGACCGACTCTGATAGACTCAGAACGACTCAAACTGACTCAGACCCACTCAACCGACTCAAATCGATTCCGATCGACTCAGACAGACTCAGAACGACTCAGACAGACTCAGGCAGACTGAAACCAGCTCAGGCAGACTCAAACCGACTCAGGCAGACTCAGACCGATTCAGATCGACTCAGATAGACTCAAACTGACTCAGACCGACTCAACCGACTCAAATCGATTCCGATCGACTCAGACAAACTCAGAACGACTTAGACAGCCTCAGACAGACTCAAGCCGACTCAGGCACACTCAAACTGACTCGACCGACTCAAACCGATTCAGGTCTGATATTCAGGTCAAACCGATGGGTCTGTCTGAGTCGGTCTGAATCGGTTTGAGTCGGTTGAGTCAGTTTGAGTCTGCCTGAGTCTGTCTGAGTTGTTCTGAGTCTGTCTAAGTCGATCGGAATCGATTTGAGTCGGTTGAGTCTATCTGAGTCAGTTTGAGTCGTTCTGAGTCTATCTGAGTCGGTCTGAGTCGATCTGAATTGGTTTGAGTCGGTCGAGTCAGTTTGAGTCTGCCTGAGTCGGTTTGAGCCGTTCTGAGTATGTCTGAGTCGATCGGAATCAATTTGAGTCGGTCTGAGCCAGTCTGAGTCGTTCTGAGTCTATCTGAGTCGGTCTGAGTCGATCTGAATCGGTTTGAGCCGGCCGAGTCAGTTTGAGTCTGCCTGAGTCGGTTTGAGTCGTTCTGAGTCGATCGGAATCAATTTGAGTCGGTCTGAGTCAGTCTGAGTCGATCTGAATCGGTCTGAGTCTGCCTGAGTCGGTTTGAGTCTGCCTGAGTCTCTCTGAGTCGTTCTGAGTCTGTCTGAGTCGATCGGAATCGATTTGAGTCGGTTGAGTCAGTCTGAGTTAGTTTGAGTCGGTCTGAGTCGCCCTGAATCTGAAAGCGTGGTACGTTATCTTCTCTTCCAGTGACGTCACAGCATGCTTCGGCCTGGCATGGCGGCCTAATACAGGAAATCTTAACTGTAAGCGCGAAGATGTATTTCTGTCCTTTATTCCTTTTATTTACCGGCCGCAACCTCCAGCGTGGGCTCTCCTCATGTATGTTTGAGACGTTTAGTTTTTGCCCCGCCGAGCCTGTGTAGAAGGCGGCCGGCCTGTGTCTGCAGTGGTAAAAGCGATATAATTCGGTAAGATGTTTATTTTTAGGTTATTTAGGCTGGTTTAGTTCAATTTAATTTGTTATTCTGTTTCTCGGTACTTTTATTGTGTTTTGTCGCTTTCGTTTACCTAGTTGAATGATCGAAATCGTTTTGGCACGGCGCCAGGCGAGGAGGCGAAAAGTAAGTCCTCAAGTGCTGTATGGGACCTGACTGTGTGATTTTTCGTTTTAGGAACCGTGTGTTGTGTCAACCCGGCATAATACATGAGTACCGAGATATCGCCTCTAAGAGGGGCCCGGCGAGTGAGACACCTGCTACGAGCCCACTTTGAGGCAACAAGCGAACTGCTGCAAAACGCACAGGCGGTCACAGTTCCGAATTCGCCTGAAGGACGTCACAGACGCTGGAAACCACAAGTGCAGTCTCCAGATCTGCAACTGGCGTATCTACTGCTTCACCTCCTCCTGATGAGGGGATCTTCAGCCTGCACTTCCGCAGCCTGGCTGTCACCTGCTGCACAGCAACCTGCGTGAGACCTGACCAGTACTTGGCATTACGCCAACTGCATCTGAACTGTGGTGAGCAGAGACAGCTGTTTCATATATGCTGCTAAGGACTTGTCTTTACTGCTTGCTACCAAATTGCAGCTGGTGATTTAACTTTGTGATGATGTGCCTTCAGATATGTTGCTGTGCATAGCCTCGTTTGTCGTCAACTGGAGATAGTGAATGTGCTGCCTGATGTTAAATGTTGAGACGGTTGTTATATCTGTAGAATTGGCTGTTGAATGAGTGGAACATGCCCATGCTGTAGAAAGTGTGATTTTGTAGGGCATCCATAACCAGGTTGACGGGTTTGACTTCTGTAGAAGGTGACATTTCAGTTGTCAAATGTTGAAACTTGAAAGCTCCTGATAATTCTGCCTGGAGTCCTTTGCCAGATATTCCTGAATCCTCAGCCTGGAAGGCCATCGATAAGTTCAGTGAGGGGTTGAGAGGATCATTACTCTTCAGAAGATCTGAGGTTTCTGTCTTTAGTTATCATGGACTTGTCGAGCCTAACAGTTCCATTGTTGAAGGCACAGCTGCTAGCAAGAAATGTTGACATCAGAGGAACTAAAGCAGTTCTTGTAGAACGATTGAGAGAAGTTCTTCATGGTGAAGGTGTTGATGAGGCATTCTTTGTTGCTCAGCTGTTTGGCAACCCTACAGGTGGAATGGAACAGGCAGATGAGTCTACAGAAGATCCGTCAGCCATTGTGAGGCAGCACGTCAGCGCTCCAGTGCCCAGCCAGCCAGAGGTGAAGAGTCCAGGTGGTCCGGGCTACCTTGCCCCGGTGAATCCTGAAGATGCTGATCGAAGACTGAAGATGCTGATCGAAGACCAAGAGGACGGAAGAGGACGAAAGCAAGGGGACGGAGGTCAGCCAACTGATGATGTGAAGCCAGGTGACAGTGTGTCTCAAGTGGGTGCGTCCCTAGCATCCAGGCACTCAGGATCGTCAGGGACACTGGCGTCTCTGAGGGCTCAGCAGGCTGCCAAGCAAGCTGCTCTGAAGGTTAAAATGAAGTACTTGAGAGAGAAACAAGCACTGGAACTCAAAGAACAAGAGCTCAAGATGAAGAAAGAGGAACTCGAGCTGCAGCAAGCCCTGGCGGAGTCAGAGGCTATTGAAACAGCACTGACGGCAAGCAGCCCAAACTCTGCTGTCTCTGGAGGTGTTGACCAACATGCAAATGACTTTGGTCAGAACCCAGTCACTGTGAAGCAGGTCTCTCGCCCCCAGGTATCAGCTCCGGAAGTTAGAGGAGTAGATGGTGAGGACCCTCACTCTGCTTTGATGAGGAAGCTGTTGACATCAAGCATCCTTCCTAAACCTGAGATTCCGGTATTTTCAGGAGACCCGACCAGGTTTCATCAGTTTCTCAGGGCCTTTGACGGACGTATTGACAGCGTTGTGACAGATGAAGGCGACAAGCTTTGCTACCTGGAGCAGTTCACTTCAGGAGTACCACGTGATATTGTCAGAGGGTGCATGTTTATGTCATCAGGTGGATACCAGGAGGCGAGGAGATTGTTGCTGAAGAGATATGGCAATCCTCAAAAAATGACTGAATCTTTTATCGAAAGGTTGATGGCCTGGCCTCAGGTAAGAAATGATGACGTGACGGCTCTGGATCGCCTGGCAGTGGAGCTGCGGACCTGCAGCAATGCAGTTGGAAGCCTGGGTGGAGCCGATGAACTCAACCATCCCAAAACCCTACGGAGACTTCTCGAGAAGTTGCCATTCTCGATTCAAGAGGGATGGAGACGAGAAGTGGACAGGATCGCAGAAAGGAATGAAAGACAAGCTTCATTCACAGACCTGGTGAACTTCGTTGAGGTAGAGGCACGGATAGCGTCAAACTCCTCTTTTGGTCGTCAGCTGTTTTCGAACTTCTCGAAGAAGATGTCGGACCCTAGAAGCTCAAGCCCTAGAGGTCAAGTAAAGAAGTGCAACCGCATCGAGGCTGATCAACTGCGGGCCTGCCTCTTCTGTGGAGAAGAGCATCACGTGGAGGCCTGCAAGAATCTAAGGATGAAATGTCGCACAGAAAGGGAGACCTTCGTAAAGAACAACGGCCTCTGTTTTGGATGTCTCAACAAAGGACATGTGTCAAAGTTCTGTAACAGAAGGAGGACATGCGCGATCTGTAAGAAAAGACACCCAACATCTTTGCACTATGAACAGCAGCCTCAGCAACCAAGTGAAGGAGAACGGACGCAGAGTCCTCAAGAACAAACAAGAGTGAAGAGCCTGGGGGTTGATCTGCTGAAAACAGGTGATGGGTTGAAGTCGAGGACGCCAGCCGTCATGATGTCCATCTTGCCAGTCAGGGTGTGGTCTTCGGATGGTGGTAAGGAAGTTGAGACCTACGCTTTCTTGGATGGAGGCAGCTCAGCTACATTCTGTTCAAGGTCTCTTCTGGATGAGCTGGGAGTTGTTGGGGAAGACACCAAGATCTCTATGACCACAGCTTCAGTCGAGAACCAGGAGCTGGACAGTCGTGTAGTACGAGGGTTGAAGGTTGCCGGCTTGGACGGCGACAACATGATTCCACTCCCTCCTACTTACACTCTCAGTGCCATCCCTGTGAAGCATGAGGATATGGCCTCAAGTGAAGATGTTGATCAGTGTGCCCAATTGAAGGGGATCGAGTTGCCCCGCATCGATGCAGAGATTGGACTCCTGATAGGAAATGATTGCCCAGAAGCTCTCCAGCCTGTAGAGATCAGAAGAAGTCAGAACGGTGGTCCGTACGCTATTCGAACAGACTTGGGTTGGGTGGTGCAGGGCCCGAGGCACAACTCTCTGCTGGATGGAAGAAGAGTGAAGGTAAACCGCGTGCAAGTTGACAAGATGAAGCTTGATGAGATGCTGGTTAACATGTACGACAAAGAATTTCCAGAGAAGATCAGCGCCACCGAGAAGGGGCCCTCAGAGGAGGATCGTCGCTGGATGGAGAAGGTGACTCGGAGTTGTAAACGACAGGCAAATGGACACTTCCAAATAGCGTTGCCATTCCGAGATACTGACCCTGCGATGCCAAACAACAAGACATGCGCTCAAAGAAGACTCGTGGGCCTCAAGAAGAAATTGGAGAAGGATGTGAAGTTCTCTCAAGACTACCGCAAATTCATGGAGGACATGTTCAGGAAGGGACATGCCGAGAAGGTTCCCACGGAGAGCCTGACAAGAAATGATGGAAAGGTGTGGTACATACCTCATCATGGGGTTTACCACCCGTTCAAAAAGGAGAAGATCCGAGTAGTCTTCGATTGTGCGGCAAGGTTTCGGGGCGTTTCCCTGAACAGCGTTCTCATGCAGGGGCCAGATCTAGCGAACTCGTTGACAGATGTTTTGGTGCAGTTCAGAGAGGGTCCTTGCGCGTTTACGGCTGACGTGGAAGCTATGTTTTATCAGGTAGCTGTTCCTGAAGAGGACCGAGACGTCATGAGGTTCTTGTGGTGGCCAGGTGGCGATTTCTCCAGAGATCCGGAGGAGTTCCGGATGACCGTGCACTGCTTCGGGGCAAACTCATCTCCAAGCTGTGCCAACTTCGCTTTGAGAAAGTGTGCTGATGACAAGGAAGACTGTGATCCCGAAGTGAGCAAGGCTGTGAAACAGAAGTTCTATGTAGATGATTGCCTTGTGTCAGTTGAAACGCCAGAAGATGCTGTGAAGATGGCGAAGGAGTTGAAAGATGTGTGTGATCTTGGCGGTTTCCGACTAACGAAGTTTGTCAGCAACAGCCGTGAGCTGCTCGAGTCGGTTCCAAAGGAAGAACGTGGGAGATGTGTCACTGAACTGAACCTGAGTATCGACGCGCTTCCAGTGGAGAAGGTCCTGGGTGTGTGCTGGACGTTGGAGGACGATGCACTCAGCGTAAGGGTGACGACAAGAAGTTCGCCGGCTACCAGAAGAGGCATTCTCGCGATGATCGCAGCCATGTATGACCCCCTGGGAATCGTGTCGCCAGCCGTTCTTCGAGGACGCCTGATCATGCAGGACTTGATGAGGCTGCAGTTGGATTGGGATTCATCCATTCCTTTGCAGCAGAAGACACAGTGGGAAGCATGGGTGGCGAATCTTCCTGGACTGGCAAAGGTGACGCTTCCGAGATGTTACCGGCCAGTTGGCTTTGGCGACGTCGTATCGGCTCAGTTGCACAACTTCTCGGACGCCAGCCAACAGGCTTACGCCTGTGTCACGTACCTGCGCCTCACGAACTCTGCCGGCAAGGTTCACTGTGCGTTCGTTTTTGGAAAGGCACGCGTGGCTCCATTGAAGGCGATGACAATTCCGCGGTTGGAGCTCGCTGCAGCCACGATGGCTGTCAGGATAAGCACGATGCTGGAGAAGGCTCTTGAGATGTCTATCCACGGAGTCTACTATTGGACAGATAGTACCACCGTGCTGAGGTACATCAGAAACGACCGGGCCAGGTATCACACCTTCGTTGCAAACCGCCTCGCAGTGATCCGTGATGGATCAGCAACCTGCCAGTGGAGACACGTCGGCTCCAAGCAGAACCCAGCCGACGATGCAACCAGAGGAGTGCAGACCGAGCGCTGGCTGCGCGGCCCAGAGTTCCTGTGTGAAGAGGAGGCGCGGTGGCCTCAGATGCCGGCAGCGATGGTCACTGAAGAAGACGACCCAGAAGTGAGGAAAGAAGTCAAGGTCGCCACAGCTGTCATCGAGGAAGAGACTCCGACCTGGAGGCTGATTAGGCACTACTCAACCTGGTACCGGCTAAAAAGAGCAGTTGTGTGGATCAGACGCGTGGCGCAGATCCTCAAGGCGCGGAAGTCAGGGAAAGAGGGAGCATCTTTCAGCGGACGCATCACGGTGGAAGAGCTCGATCAAGCAGAGAGGGCAATCGTTGGCGTCGTGCAGGCGTCGGCGTTTCCAGAAGAGCTGAGTTCGCTGAAGAGAGGTGGCCTGGTCAAGCGATCCAGTCCTCTGTTCCGGCTCAATCCCCAGATTCAAGATGGCATCATTTGTGTCGGAGGCAGATTGGGCGCTGCGCCTGTCCAC